GAGTACATACATATATCCCCCGACTCTGCCACATACTTCGACATACATAGCTATATGACATCCAGACATCCAAACATCCAAGCCACTTGCATACACAGACGTACTATACAAAACGTGTTTACTACTCCACGACTAAAATTGCAAATATTGTATGCTATTTAGCCTAGCAGTTAGCAGCTTACCCATAAATATTTACATATATTAAACAAATCGCCCAGAAGGACAGATGAATTGTGGTATGTATGTGTGTGTGTGTATTTTTGTATGTACTACCCACTAAATATAGACATATATGTGCGGAGAACTGTGTTCCTGAACACCGTGGAAAAGGAATTAGGCATTTTTGTTTGTCTTGAGGCCACGGAGGATCCTCCGAACCGTGAAGGAATGGAGATGTGCCAATTTCTGGGCCACCAACCACAGTTGATAACCAGCAGGAGAATATATATATGTATACTTATAAGCATCCTTACATCGTCACCACAACGGGGACAACAACTTGGACGACTTGGACATTGCTGGTCGTAGCATCTACTTCTATACGTTAATCTATATGTAATTATGTAATATTGGATCCGTGTCAACCGTGTCAGTCGTTTAGTTCAGTTCCATAGTCATTACCGGGTCCGTTAGACAAGGATTTATGCAGATACTCTCAACTATTCTAGAATCTAGAGAAAGGCGACGAAGCAGATCAAAAGTTTTGCTACCACTACCAAGTGCTGTACACGCCAAAAACGAAAGGCTTCAGTTTAGCTATAGACACAAATATATATTATATAAAGAGATGTATTTACATATTTTTGGCATTATAGATACATACACAACGTGGAAAATTGCAAAACAATAATAGTGGAGTGGTAAAGGGAAAGTAATTCTTAGAAAGGCAGATTTTTTCATACAGGAAACGGTGAAAATCAAACTTTTCAACATAAGAATTGAATATATGGAAAAAAAAAAACTATAAAATATTTACTAAAAGTGAAAACAATAAATGAAATGAGTTATACACCCTTAAAGAATATATATGTGCAAATTGTAAATGGAGCATGTAATTTTGTAAAAATTATAAATAAAAGTTTATCAAGTCGAGAGTTTCTGAGCCTAAGTTAAGTTTGGTGAACATTTACAGAGCTGCCTAATTACAAATTAAATATAATTACAGAAACTAGATCATAATCCGGATGGATAGAGATGTCATTTGGCCACTTATTACATATACTCATTCACTGTAACTTTTCTGGGAGTCCCCGGGTCTTGATTGCCATTTCCGACAGATGCTGTTGCAGTAATCTCTTGTTGACCTTTTCCCTATGGGTACAAATGCGAAAATTAACATATGGAATCTCAAAAATATAAGAGTAAGCCTCTCTCACTTGATTATTAGAGCAGTGTAGCGCGTTTTATCCGCGTCGCTTATGAGCTGGGTGGGAAAATTGGGAGTTGCCATTAGGGTCTTCATCCAGACAGCCATCTCAGCGGAATATTTTCTGTTCATGGCGAGAAGGATGTCTGCAAACTTGTCAACCTGCGATCGCGGCGTTAGGTAGCCCACACACATCATCGTCGTGTACAGCGTCTGCTCGCCAGTGGCCAGGACGACTTCGGTCGCGTGGGTATGGTTACGCGACTGCATCACAAAGTGGGTTAGAAACTGTATGCTGTTTCGGATAGCTCCACTCTCCGGCAAAGTCATTCCACGCTGTGCGTAAAAGACTAGGCGATCGTAGGCCAGTGTCTTGTCCTCCAACACTTGGGGAATTTTCTTAATGATTTGCGCGAGACATCCGAAGAAGGTTTCCATAGTGTCCGAAATGTTGGAGAAGTTCTGCTCGGGGGTGTTCTCAAACAGCTTAAAGCTGTGTTGAATGAACTCCCTCAGAAGCTGCTGCATCAGCGGCTTGCAGCCCTCGTCCTTGAAGAACATAACAATGGCCTGAAACAAAGGATTCAAATAGATCCCTCAGTCTCTTGCAATATACTGGATTGGCTCACCGTCTTGGATATTTCTAGAGTAGGAGCGCAACATCGGGTCTGAAAGCTGGCCACAATGAAGAGACAAAGATCCTGCAGCATTGGCTGGAAGCTGCTCCTTAAATTCGTAATTGCATGCTTCATCGCGCTGCAAGCGGCCTATAAATGGATTCCACAAACGATAAAGTTTTATTACTTATATAAAAATGGTGTGTTTATTCCTGTACCTCCAGGACATCGATCTCCTCCACCCACATCTCGGCGATTCGTTTAAAGATGGGCATCGTTCGCTGCATGACGAGGAGGACTGGCTGCACCACTGGTTGGTCGGTCGCCTCTTCATCCACCTCCGTATTCAACGACGAGAAGAGAGTGGAGATCATATTGAGCCGGAAGATTGTGCGAATTCGAGCAGCGGGAGTTTTCTAGTACAACAAAAAAATGGTTAAATTGTGATCTATAAATATATTTTCTTAAAAATGTAACTACTTGGTATAAAGTTGAAAGTACTGTCTGTTTTGCTTGGATCCCATTTACTCACCGAATCCGCCTGGCAAATGGCCTGTAGCTCCTCGAAGCACGGACTAACGATAATATCCAAGTACTTGGGTATTTCCTCCGGCTGCAGCAGGCTCATTAGCTTTCCGATGCTGAACATAAGCCTCACGGAATCCGAGTTCTTCATACGGCCCGTGTTCAGGGAAGCGTGGCACGCGTTTAGGAGTGGATCCGCGTACGGCTTCAGCTGCAGCTGACAATCACGGCACAGGTCCTTCAGGCCGAGCGTCGCCTGTGCTGACATCGAGGAGTTCAGGCCGCGCACCAGTAGGTTAATGGCTGGCGGAATGTACGCGGGGTTCTCCATCAGCCAATTGCAATAGGAACCAATTGTCTCTAGCGCAGTGCCCAGTAGCTTGACATTAAGCTTCTCGTAGGGAATCTCTGCCAGCACTCTCATCAGCCTGGGTATGTGCCGCATTTCCTCGCCGCCAAAGTGTTCGGCTACCGACTGAAAAGAATAGATGCACGCCTCCAGCTTTGTCCAGTGTGTGGGATGTCTTTGCAGGTCAGCAATGGCCTCGTCCAGCATGGCAGCCAGGATCACCAAGATATAGTCATTCAACACATCATAGCAATACATCTAAAACAAATGAAGCATATTGCTAAATTATACCTGTTACTCGTTAAAAATGGTAGCCAATCCATTGGAATTGGAGTATTTAATTGTAGCAACCACTCACAAAAGTATCGGATATATCCTGTCTGTAGCACCTGAAGCATTCCAAATCATCCGAGCTCCACTTGGCGAGGGACTTTTCGTCTGGCTGCTCTGACTTTCTCACTAGTATTCTGGTTAGATGGGCGTACAATGGTTTGATGTACTCCCAGCACTTGCGTTTCTGCTCAACGTTTGACATGGCGAACACTTCATCTTGCAGCATATACCAAAACGCCAGGGCCATAGTGCTGCAGGACTCCTCCACGGGATAGATGCCCGGTTTGTCCGTGCAGTGGAGAATCTCCTGCACAATACGATGCACTAGGAGAGACAGATCCGGATCCGCGGACGTGATCCCGCTGAGCAACAGCGACGAATGTCGCTCCACGGAGGACACGAACAGCATGTAGATATGTACGATAATGTCCTCGTTGTCGTTCTCCCTCTTCCACTCCGTCTTTGTGATTTCGGATAGCGAGTCCAGGAACATCTTTATAAGCACAAACGCCGTCTTTGGGTAGTTGTGGCAGTCCGGCTGGATGATGATGTTCACCATCGTCTTCAGACAGGATTCGGCCAGCTCGTTCTCATCGGCGGTCATGCAACCATCGCCGGCGTGTATGCACGGCCAGTAGCACTTGTGGACCACTTCCAGGAGCACGGCGGTGATGGTAACGCAGCCCTCAATGGTGTAGCCGATGTTTCTGTCCGATTTCAAAGCTCGATCAGAAAATGTTTAAAATATTTTTGGAAAACGTAATACTCACTTGATCCAGGTGCCGACGCACTTGACGGCCCTGTTCATGTTGCTGTACGTCTCGGCATCCCACACGCGGTTCATCTGCAGCTTCAGATATCGCTCAACGGTCTGGATGACCAGTGGCATTCGCTTGCCGAGCTCGGCGCGCAGAACAACCCGCTTGACAGACGTGTGGATGACCTGTGCTTCCTCGGGAATGGCGGTAAGCACCTCCAGCATGATCCACAACTGCACATCGGCGCTGACATTTGGCATCCGTTGGTTCTGAAACGTGTTGATCACCTCCTCGATGGCGCCGGGCCATTCGCCCAGCATGTGGACGATGTAAGCGCCCAGCGAGATGCACAGCCGATTGAGGACGATCTTCGGCCCGCCAGCGAAGCGAACGATGGACTCGAGAATCTTTTGTTTCAACTCCTCGCGATTCTCGGGCGGCACTTCGTGCCAGTGCTTCATAAGCTTGGAGTGCAACGTGATGGCGCCGAAGAACTGCACCTCCTGGCTCTGCGTGGGCGTTCGGGCGATTGGGTGGCGGTGGGCGGTGAGCAGTGAGCGGTGGGCGGTAGGTGCATGAGTATACATATCCGGGTAATTGATGCATTGATGCGCAGGTCCTGCGAGGTACTCACCTTGCCGAGCTGCATTAGCTGCCAGGAAAACTGCCAGGCCTGAGGACTGGCCTCCGCATCGGTGAGCCACTCATGGGTGATCGCCTGGTTCTGCGAGTTCGAGCGGTAGAAGGACACGACCGCCTCCTCCAGACGCACTATGTCTATGGGCTCCATGTGGTATGGCTGCTACTGCTAATGCTGCTGCCTACAGGCAGGCTCCTGTCCGCTAATCCTCGGGTGGTGGTTTTCTTTGCTGCTGCCTGTGGGCACTGGATGCGCGAGTGTGACCGTCGCGCGCAGCCGTCAAATGGCCTGTGAGAAAAGTTTGCGGTCACTCTATTTCCATTTTCCACTTCGCCGCGCTTTTTGCTTTCGTATAAAATGAAATGAATATAAAAATTTTTGTTACGCCTGAAAAGCAAGAGGTAAAGCAATGGATTTTTAACAACTTTCATTCACGTTTAATTTGCTCACTTCATACAATTTTACTATTTCAAGTAAATAAGCCCTAAAAAGTTAACAAGAAATTTGGAAAACCCAAATACATGCACCCCTAGCAAGCAAAATTGAATCGAAGTTGCCAGAAGCAGTAGCGCAATTTGGAGCATCTTTCGGTTATGAACTCCTTACTTTCATCGTCGAGATACAGATCTATTACGATGTTGTCGCAGAACTGAGCGACCTGTCGCTCCACATCGTTGCAGTCCAGGGTGCAGCGATTGACCACGGCCCACTTGTCGGTATTCAGGCCCGGGTTCTGCGACTCCAATAATGCGAAGATCACACACAGCGACTTGCTCGGACTGACCAGCGGCAGAACGAAGGACGCCCTCAGAAGGCCGAAGAACTCGATGAAGAGCTGGCAGGAATGCGGCGGGCACACACCATCGACGGCTGAAATGACCCATTGGGCGGTTTCCTCATCCTCGCAGACCACTAGCATGTTGGAGTCGAATGTCTGCGTTGAGGCACACTCATTGAAATTGAGATCGCTGACGCTCGATCCACTTTCCTCGAATAGAGAATGAAAGTGTTCCATCAGGGCAACGGTGTCCACACCTTCTGCGCTCGAACTCTCGTTTGTTATCACCAGACAGTATTTCCGGTTCTCGGGCATTGTGTTCGCATACGGCGGCCGGGTATCTCTGTTTTTGCAATTCGGCGGCAGGCAACAGTCCCTCTTCTTATTCCAGCACTGCGCGACTGGCTCCACTGCGCTGCTGCTGGTGCTCGTCTCCGATTTGCACGCCATTATCTGAACCTTGGAGCCAAAAATGGAAGCCATGTTTCCGGCTGGCCTGTCAGAGAGCAGATTCTGCTGCGGAACCACTTTGACCACGTTCATTTGGTTGCTCCTAAGCCTGTGAATGGAAATGTTGAGCATAACTATCATTTTATAGTATTACCCATACCTTTTGGCTGCAGATTCTTCATCGGAGGCGCTCACCCTCCTCTTTCGCGCTTCCGCGCTGCCGCTCGTGCTGGCGGATTCAAAGCTGGTGTTCGTCTTGTGCGAGGTACTCGAAGCAGAGGAATCTTGCGAGTCCGACGCCTCGCAGAAATGAGGTAGCCTGTCGACGGGCAGCAGCATAGAGCTTTTGGGCAGATTTAAGAAATCTTGTTGGGTCTTTCCTTCAGGTATTGTGTAAAATTGAAGAAACCCAACGAAGGATTTCTCGTGATACAGCGAAAAGGACGTGCCATTAAGCGTCGGCATCGGTTGAGTGGAATCGTTTTTGTCTTGGACACGGAGCAGATTGGTAATGTACTCTTCGTTTTCGAGGGACTTGTGGAAGCTCTTTACGTTCAGGCGTGCCAATGGAAGACCCACCTTCACCTCCAGTTTTTGCTTCAATTCGCCAATGGTCGCATTATTCTTGAGCTCAAACATTTCCGGCTTCTGTATGGGGTTGATAAATAATCTAAATATTAAATTTATTAAATTTAAGCTTCAATTATATCTTCATTTATGAAGAATCCAAAACATGTACATATGTGCGTGTGCCTAAGAAAACTGCTCAATGTTGCAAAGTAATTAAAAGCATACCAGGCTTGTGTTTCCATCGTCATCTATCTTCACTTTGACGAACATTTTATATATGAGGAGAGATTAAAATTAGTTTAAAAGACAATAAGTTTTTTCCAATTGGAATTTTTCAAGACTACTGCGCTGATGCGCTTTTTTAATGGAGATTCTCCATTACGGTAGAACCGTTACACAAAAGCTTTTGTTTTACTGTATGTTTGGCACTTTACGACACTGAATATTTACAGATTTCTTTACGATTTCTATCAACAATGAACCAGTAATACATATAATACCTTGCCCTCACCCTTGCAGTACTTCGATTCAATGTTAGCGACTGCAAACACCATTTTGTTTTAGGTAAAAGTGTTGGGTGTTTAGCAAGTTTTAGATGTATTGAAAGTTTGGAACTTTTTAAATTTTATTTTTCACGAAAATAGTTAAAAACACACTCGAATGTTTGAAGATCTAAGAAAATTAAATTGTAAGGCAACACATTCGGATTTAGAATTGAAACTAGAACACAGGCACTCTACAACACTGGTTTGCGGCATTTCTGTTTACGAATCGGGTGGAAAGCGAAATTGAGTGTTTGTCGAATGAACAGTAATGAAATAACCTATTGAGATGGCGGGTAAACGTGTTTTGGTCATCGATAATGGATCCTACGAGTGCCGCGTGGGCTGGAGCAACTCCAAGGAGCCGGAGCTGCGCTTCCGCAATGTGCTGACCAAGCCGCGCAAGGATCGCAAAAAGGAAGCAGCTACTCAGCACATCTCATCCGAAGGATCCTCCTCGCAGGCAGCGGTGGAGCAATCTGCCGAGATCCAGGTGGGCAACGACATCACCAACATCGAGGCGGTGCGTGCGCATCTGAAGAGTCCATTCGAGCGGAATGTGATAACCAACTGGAATCACCAGGAGCAGATCTTCGACTACATATTCTCCAAGATGGGATTCGAGGGGCAGGATAAGATTGACCACCCAATCATCCTTACAGAGGCGCTGGCAAACCCCAACTTTTGCCGCCAGCAGATGAACGAGCTGCTCTTCGAGTGCTACGGCATTCCGGCTGTATCCTACGGCATTGATGCGCTGTACAGCTGGAAACACCATCAGCAAAAGCAGAAAAAGGTTATTCAAAGGTCCATTCAATTTCTTACTTCAAACTAATACGAGATTTCTCTTAGATATCCGATGCCCTTATTATTTCCTTTGGCTACAGCACCACCCACGTCATCCCCGTGTTAGATGGCAAACTCCAGCTGGAGCACGTGCGTCGCTTGAATGTGGGTGGCTACCACATCATCACCTACCTCTTCCGGCTCATGCAAATGAAGTACCCCGTCCATTTGAATGCCATCACCATCAGTCGAATGGAGAAACTGGTCCATGAGCACTGCCACATTGCTGTGGATTACAGGGAGGAGCTGGTGCAATGGGCCCAGATGGACTACTACGATGAGCACATCATGAAGATTCAACTGCCATACAATGCGGTTACCGCCACTAATGCCATGCTCACCGCTGAGCAGAAGCAGGAGAAGCGCCGCGAGCTGGCCCATCGTCTGTTGGAAATCAAGAATCGTCGCGAGCGGGAGAAACTTCGCGAGGATGAGCAGCAGCTATTCGTCTACAACAAGCTGAGGCAACTGTACGAGCAGAAAAAGCTGGAGAAGTTTGAACGAGCTTTACAGCAACAGCAGATCGGTACTTTGGAGGATTTAGATTCCCTCATCGCCACCATAAAGTCGCGTATTAAGCGTGCCCAGGAGAGGGCTCAGAGTGCCCCGCGTCCCAGCAAGCAGCAGGAGAAGCTGGATAAGATGCCGAAACCTCCTGAGGGCATGTCGCAGGCGGACTGGTTGGCCGAACTTCATGATAAACGAGAGAAAATACTCGGTCGCAAGCAGGCCCGCCAGCAGCAGCGCTCCGAGCAGGCCAAGCGGCACACCCACGCAGCGCAGGAGCGGATGCGAATCATTTCATCACTGGCCAAGAACGAGAAGCGGCGCAAAGCGAATGGCGAGGAGGAGGATGATGGCTTTGGGATGAACGACAATGACTGGGACGTGTACAAACGGATCAATCGCTACAACGATGACAGCGACTCGGATGCAGATAACGAAAAGTTACTGCAGTTCGATAAGATCCTAAATCACTATGATGCCAACTTCGACGGCAACTCTAATGTTCCAGCACAGAGTGCCGCCGAAAACTACCAGCTGCACTTTGGGGTTGAGAACATCCGCGTGCCGGAGGTTCTGTTCCAGCCCAGCATGATTGGTTGCTCAGAGGCAGGCCTGGCTGAACTAATAGCATTCGTGCTGAAGCTATTTCCCGCTGATGAGCAGCAGCGCTTGGTAGAGCACGTGTATCTTACAGGCGGTTGTGCGCAGTTCAGGGGCCTCAAGGAGCGACTGACCAAGGAGCTGATGGCAATGCGACCGTTCCAGTCAAAGTTCGCCATCTACGAGTCGGATGAGCCAACATTAAGCGCCTGGCTGGGAGCATGTGTGCACGCACGAGAGCCCAACTTCAGGCAGACGCTGACCACTCGCCAGGACCACCAGGAGCATGGCAGAGAGTTCTTTCGGGAGCACACGTCTAGCAATCTCTTTTATCCTACACCAAAAGATTAACATTTATTTGAAAGCACCGAAAAATATATGTAGACGCTTAAAAGAGAAGTTCGGTAACATCATTGCCGAAAAGTAGGTTCCAGGACTTGGGCACTGTGAGTTTAAAACTGCCATCGCCTCCGTTTCGCAGCTGAAGGAAGTCTTCGCAAAGTTCGTTAAGTTCCCGGACGATCAGAGAAGCGTCTGTGGAGTTGTCGCCCTCGAGGAGATAGCGGAATAACAGCATGACGGGCACCTTCTGCTCATCGAAGGCTTTGAACAGCTGCAGGGCATTGCCGCCGCCGTAGATGGCATCGCCTTTGTGCTCCTTCCACTTGATGAGCTCCTCGTTGCCCAGCTGGGCAGCGTGCTTCTCCTTGAAATTGTCGCTAGCGCGGTAAGCCCATGGGGACTCCTCAATCACCCGTTTCTCGAAGCCGAAACTGCCGCTTAGGATGACTACACGTCGGGCGTCCTTGAGGAGCTCCACCAGTTCCTTCTGGAAATGATTGGTGTGGCGGGCAACCCACGGCGCCCGGAATTGCACCACAAGTAGTTTGTCCTCCACGCCCTCGTACAGTTCGCATGAGGAGACCTTCTCTTTGGGCTCGTGCTGATAGGCGGAGGGTCCGTAGACCGGAATCAAAGCTGGATGTGTGATGGAACCAATTCGGTGGAGTTCCTTGGACGCGATCAACAGGTCGCAGGCCAGCTGCGCCGCGTTTCCCACGCAAATGCTCGGTATGATCACTGTGTGCTCTGCCACGTCCAGGGTGGAACGCTTGTCCTTCAGAAACAACATACTAGGCGGGAATGAGTTGGAGATGTTAATTCAAGTCAAGTCAAAAATATGAAAGTAATGATTCCAGTGTTGGTGTGTTTTCGAACTGGCACTAGGTGGCAACTCTGATGAGGTGCTTGCTGATACGCGAATATAAAAGGCGCGACATATTTAAGACTGCTGCCTTCTTTTACAATCCGTATAAATTGATAAGTCGAGGCCAAGTTTATTTTCGAAATGTTACACGTTTTTTATTTTATCATTTTATTATATATAGGACCTTCGTTACTAAGCTGGAAAATGTGTTATTTTCGAGTACTCATTTATCGATAGCCGGCCGCAGACGCTTTCCAGCACTGTTCTTTATTTTTGCTTGGACACACCAAATGTTTTGTTTCCCGGCGTAAATATGTCGAATTCCGTGAATATTTCAGTGGAAACGACTTGCGAGAACCAGATACGTGAGATTGGCTACGATGGCACCGAGTTGTATCAACCGTATGTATTTCCAAGCCAGCAGGTCCACTTCTCAAAAATTTATTGTGTTGTGTCTTTTTCTTTGTAGGCCGCCAACTTTGTCCGAAAGTCTGGCGAAATGTGCGGCACGCATAGATTTCAGCAAGACGTCGCTGGACGACCTCAAGAAGGAGGAGAAGACGGCGGCGGCGGCCACCGACGAGGACAAGGACGCGACCCAGTTCCAAGAGAGCCTGTGGCCCTGGGATGCGGTACGCAACAAACTGAAGGATGCGCTCACGGAGATATGTGTGCTGTCCGATGTGATCTCCATCGCCAAGGATAAGCGCTATCTTGTGCTCGATCCCCTGCTGGAAGAGGCTGACGACACCAAGCCCATTGTGCAGGTGTACAGCCGCAAGAAAGCCATCTCACAGGCGGCCCAAGTGCTTCTCAGTGGGGCGGAGCGCCTGCGGAACGCCCACAGTGAGCAGCGTAACCGAAATGTGTCAGATTTTCATATAGAGCTACTGCGCCTGCGACAGAACTGGCGCCTGAAGAAGGTTTCCAATGCAATTATCGGGGATCTCAGTTACCGCACAGCGGGCTCAAAGTTTGGCATGAGCGGCACCTTCGAGGTGACCAAAGCTGAAGAGACCGGAGATGAGGACACCGCCAGCTCATCCAACAGCAGTAGTAGCACCTCCGGCAACAATGGCATGCAACTTAAAGCTAGCTCCGCATTGCGGGTGATTGTACCAGCGGAGCTTCAGGGTGTTGCTTACATTAAGGTGATTACACAAAAGGATCAGGAGGACTTGTGCACCGCCCAGGTTAATCTGATGGGCCACGGACCCAATATAACAGCCCAGGTGGGAGTCTGGCAGAAGACGCTGGAGTTCGCCCAGAATGTGCTCTTCTGCAAGGAGCTATTCGCCCAGTTGGCACGTGAAGCTATCCAACTGCAGGCCCCAATTCCACATGTGGTCATCGGCAACCAAATTCGTGCCACCCTGCTGCCTAACATCCAACTAATTATCTCGTTGTGCCACTCAACCACCTTCGATTCCAGTCAGCCGGCGCCAATAAACGATCATGACCATGTTCTGGAACACTCGCTGCATCAGCTTCTGCGCGAGGTGCACTACAAGAACTCACACCATCCCTTTCCCCATCCGGCCAGCGCTCCATTGGGACCGACTAAGAAACGCATGCTGGCCGGTCCAATGGCTGCGGATCGGGAAACGTTATTGGACATGACCAAGTCGCAGACCATACTCGAACAGATCATCGCCCAGGCGCAGCACATTTTCATGCGCAAGCGAACGCAATACGTGCTCGATACGCTGGCCAGAGACGTAAAAGATCCGCAGATTGTGTCGCATTGGAACGCTATGAACAGTCCCACCATGTCGTGTGTGAAAATCAACATTGTAACGCACGGATACGATGCCATTGGACGCACCTCACTGGTGATCCACGTCAAGGAGCGCTCTCTTAAAGGCATTTGTCGGGACGGCCGCGTTATGCGGCTGTCCTACGAGCCGCAGGAACTCCGCGACCTGATCCTCTGCCAGATCAACTCCCACCAGATCTCCTGCCTGATTACCCTTGCTCGCTACATGGCCTGGACTGTGCTGTCGAACAGCAACCACTTGGGTGTCGGAAAGGTGGAGCCGCTGGGAAATGCCAGTTCATGCCTTTTGGCCTCTCCCAATAGCGATCGCATGATTGCCGTTCAGATTCGCTGCGATCCCCAGATAGATGTTAAGGTATATATAGCGAGAAGCCCACGACAGGATTTCTTCCCGAGTCCACTTGTACCGGAAAAGCTGTGGGAAAATCTGGGGGGCACATTCAAAGAGGTGAGTCCATTATTGGAAAACAGGCCAAGGAAGCGGATTGATTTTCATCCTTTTTCTAGGTGAGGTTCGACAAAATCGAGGGCAAGAGCTTTCTCAACAAAATGGAGTTTCTGATGGCTTCACTGACCAGCAACTCAGCCTGAGAAACCTTCACTTGCACCCACTAGTATATAAATCGAATTAGAACTCTGTTTTAGGAATTAATTAAAGTAAAAAGAGTTGTATTTAAATTTACATACGAGACGTCTGAGTATCGACATACTGCTATTGTATCGTTTAGATATAATCTCTTGAGGTGCTTTCAGTTCAGTGCATCAGGCTGTAGCTGACGTTGTTCTTCCACAGGCGTGGCTGGTAGTTCACAGACTCCGGCGACATATTTCGCTGCTGCATGATAGTAAAGGTGTCCTCCAGGCTGACCACATTGGCCCGATTGGTACTCTGCGCAGAACAGTTTGTGAACTCCGTACACAGATTACTTTCTGCAAAACCGAACTCACCCAGCGCTCCAGGTCGCAGAAGCTGATGTTGTAGTTCTGGCCGCGTGGCTGCAGTGTCAGGACCTCCATCTTATCAGCCAGTGGTTGGGCTAGGCGCAGATAAAGGCCCCGGTTGGTGGAAAATAGGACGGGCACTCGCTTGGCTGGTGCTGATCCCGCACCCGTTCCGGCACCTGGGATCTGCCGGTAGGTCGGGCAATGATTGATTGTGGACACCGGCTCCTCCGGCAACTGTGCGTCGCTGCCACCACCTCCCACGCCTCCAACTGTCCGCATCAGACCCATGCAAGTGTAAAAACAGGACGCCACTTTGCCGCATTTATGGGATTAGTGGCAGTACTCGATTTTCTGATCTCGCGAGCAGCCCTCGGATGAACTTCGCTGTATTTGCATTGTTCCACACTCCTGAACCTATCGATTTTGTGCAGCGCCAGGCCTAACGTCAACACGTTCCCAGTGTCCAGTCAGTGTGTGTATCAGCCCCATCCATTTGTATGGGCCACAATCGAACGGCCGGTTGCCCCGACAACCAATACCACACCCGTTCCCTGTCCGAATGGCCGGTGGTGTTCATTCATTAGCCATGTGCGTGTGCCGGACCAATTGTCTCAGCCAGAGCCAGATAGCCAGATAGGCAGATAGCCAACCGGCCGGCCACACGCGTTTTCTGCAAAATTGTTCAATTATTGCCAGCGGGAACTGAAATCTCTTTGATGATGTATGCAATCAGCAGATTGGGTCCAACTGGTGGTGTTGTGATTGCAAATAGCAGACCATTATGGAATACCAAATGGATGTTGGGGCTACATGAACGCAAAGCCTTCGCTACCCTTTGAAAAATAGTTCTGATCATTAAGATCTCCTCCATTTCTTCCCATTACTAAGATACTCATCTTGCCTATTTCATTATATTTAAAATGTATATATTGAATTATCTTCAGAAGAGCTTTTTTGATGACTAGGATTAGAGAATCCATTCCAAAACCCCAAAACGGAAAACGCTTCTATTTCTTTACTTTTTACAAATATTGTTTTAAAACTTTATTTCATTTTTATATTATATTGTTGTTGTTTTGTTTGTGTTGTGTACTTGTAAATTGTATAATTAACACTAAAATACTTATTTAAACATATTCCATATTCAATCGGTTTTTGTATTCCCTTCATTTTTTTCGATTTTTCAGTGTTACTTTTTGCCATTTTTTTGTTTTTGTTATTTGTGGTTTGGGCGACTTATACCTTTTGTTTACTTAATTCCGCTCCATTACACTTATATATTTTGTTTGTGGTTTATATAGATCCAGCAATTGAAACGCTCAAACCCAAAGCGTTAGTAAATAAATTTAACTTAGCCACTATTTAAGTTTTTCGCTTCTTCATTGTCGCATCATCGATGCGGCATTCCATACTATAATTTAGATATAATTCATGCAGCACATACTATAAATTTCTCCACTCCGCTCTCGATCGTATTATAAATTCCGGCATATTAAACATATACAATATTTAAAATAGACTTTTACATTTTTTGTTTGTTTAATTAATTTATCAATTGATTTGTGTGTGCTTTGTGGTGTGTGTGTGTGTGTGTGTGTGTGTGTGTGTCAATGTGGGCGTGTTTGTTTTAAAGAAATTAGTTTCTTTATGCGGATTCCTTTTGATTTGTTTATGTTGCTGGGCTTATAGATTAGCTTCGATTCTAATGCTACTGTACGGGTACGGGTTGGTTGGATTCTCTATGAATGCTAAATGTGCTGCTGTATCGCTGAAAGGATGCTAGCACAGACATATACAGTGTGTATATTAGATTTATTTATATATTATGCACTTTACGACTTTTGTTTGTACAGCATTCAAGTTAAGTGTGATATTTGAAGTAAACTTTTCATTAGGTTATGTTTCTACAATTGTTGCTGCTTCTGCTGCCTTTACGAAATATATAATATATACTTTATATGCATATTAAACAGCTAAATCTTATAGTTATGCGCGTAGCTATTTTGCAATAAATTAGTGCATACAATAGGCTACATCTGTATCTGTTTCTGTCTATATATAATGTTTACATATATCTAGCTTTCCATATAATTTTCATTCGCTGCCCTAATGCACACACAATGCCGTGAGGAAATCGAAACGAGTGCAAACTGTTGCCGCTCTCCAAAGTGAGAAAAATCGTACATATCGTGTTTTCATACATATCTCATCTCATACAAGTGGTATTGCTCGCCGTTGGAAGGAACTTAAATAACGATTTTCATATTAGTTGTTTGGTTAAAATATATAAATACATACAAACG